CGCCAGCGCCAGCGCCCCTGCGGCGACCGCGGCCGCGGCATCTGCTCCCGCCTTGGCCCTTCTCCGAGCCGCCGTCGCTGCCGTCGTCGTCCTCGGTGCCGAAGCCCGCGTTGTTCATGTCGCCTCGGGGTCTCGCTACGTAGAGACACGGTTGCACCAAGACGCGACATTTGTAATGTCGTTGCTTATGGCGCAACCGATGGTGAATTCTATGGCACCATGGGCTGCGCCAGGCATTTCACCAGAGGTTACGCAGTGAGTGCAACGTTGGGGGCGCTGTAGGTTGCGCCATTGATTGAGTTATGGGCTGCGCCTGGGGAGACTCTGGCGTTGGTTGCGCCATAGGTTACGCAGTTCGCGCTGCGCCGCATGCTGCGCCGTGGAATCTGCCCTCAGCCCCCCATCTCCGTCGGCGCTGTCGGTTTTAGCTCATTGGGGAATCGAGCAAACGCGCAGCCCCGCGCGCCCGAGAAAAATGACAAACTACATCGGACCTAATTTCATGCGATCGCAAACATGGATCAAGGGGGCGTGGATTAGCGACGGGTCCCATTTCCATGGGAAATTGCGGATTCCCGCCGCCGAGCGAGGCGGCACCGGCCTCATTTTGGCCCCGATCCATGGATTTGGCGACCGCTCGCCAAATCCATGGATCGCCAATCCATGTTTGCGCGCCCCCTACATTTGCACGCGAGCCCCTGCGAACGAACGTCGCCGATTACCGTGGCGCCGCCCACGGCGTTGGAGAGCTGCGCGAACTCCTCTGGTCGCCGAGGCGCCTCGCCCCGTGGATCTTGCCTTTCCTCACTCGCCGACACTCTATGGCCGTCCTTGACGTCCAAGAAATTCAGGCGATCGCAGACATGATCAAGGGGGCGTGGATTAGCGACGGGTCCCGTCTCCATGGGAAATTGCGGATTCCCGCCACAAAGCGAGGCGGCACTTGTTTTGGGGAGGGCATCTCCCCCGATCCATGGATTTGGCGACCGCTCGCCAAATCCATGGATCGCCAATCCATGTTTGCGCGCCCCCGAGAATTGCTTCGTCTTCGGGTGGCGCGGGTCACATCCTGACTTGGGCTGCAGATGCAGACGAAATATGCTGCCCCCCCCCTCCCCCGTCAAGGTGGTGTCTTTGCCTACTCGTTCCCTTCTCCTGTCTCTCTATCTCTCTCTATCTCTCTTTCCTCTCTCTTTCTGTTTTGTCCCTTTCTCTCTCTCGCTCTCTCTCTTCTCTCACCGTGCTAGAGGATTTCGGTTTAATTTAAAATTTGATTCTTCCAGAAAAATCATACAAAAACAACACTATCAATAACAACGAACAGCAACGCTTCGTTTTTCGAATACGTCATTTTAGTTCCCATAGCTTTCCATAATCAATGACGCTGTGCTCTCCAACTTTCCAATACGTTTCAAGGTTTCTGGCCCTGCAGCGGGCAGACGGACGCGTGCCGCTTGGAAATGTCAAAGAATTGGAAAGCACAACGTTTCACACTTTTCCAAAACAAGCAATGGCAGCGTTGTTTGGCTCATGTTCCACAACAGGAAAATCGGAAATAGGTTCCAATATTTTGACAAATAAGATAATTGGAAGACGCTGCGTGTTCAACTTCCTTGTTAGAGAACTAATTCAGACGCTGTGTTGTCCAATCGTATTCTAAAAACAGAAAACCTGCGCGCCCCAATCTTCCCATTCAAAAAGCAATAGACACGCTGTGTTGTCAACTCGTTTTGTGAAAGACACTTGTTCATAAGAAAGCGCAGTCTTTTCCTCCCGAGGCCACTGGAGAGATGGGAGAGTCAGACGCGGTGGGGGTCGGGGTGGGGTCCGGGCGGGAAGTTGCTGGGTGGGTGTCCTGAGACCAAAAGTCCTGAGGGGTGCGCTCGAGGGGTGGGGGGGTCAGACGCGGTGGGGGTCGGGGTGGGGCCCGGGGGTCCTAAGAACAAGGGTCCCGAGGGGTGCGCTGGAGAGGTGGGGGGGTCAGATGCGGCAGGGGTCGGGTTGGGGCCCGGGCGAGAATTGCTGGGCGGGGGATCCTCAGGACAGGGGTCCCGAGGGGTGCGCTGGATAGGTCGGGGGTCAGACGTGGTGGGGATCGGGGTGGGGTCCCCGAAGGGACATTTCGAGCCATCGGCCCCGAGAAGCCCCCAGGAAACCCCGAGAGGTCCCCAAGAAGCCCCCAAGAGGCCCGAAGAGGCCTTCAATAGGCCCCCACGAGGCTTCAAATAGGCCCCCATGAGACCTCCAATCGTTATGGATCGCCGATAGGTGCCTGATAGCCCACCCTGCCGAGGACCGTGCGGTTTCGCTATCGGGGACATCTCACCAATCTATGCGCGATGTATCACCGAGTCCAGTTCGATGGTTCCCCCCCGCAAGCCAGTCTCCCCCGTGTCGCCTCCCCTCGATCTCATTACTGGGGGTCTGCTCCGGTCTCCCGCGGCGTTTTCTGTTCGATCCGCCCGGGAGGTTACCACCACTTCTCGGGTGTTGCTAGAAGTACCCCGGGCCCAAGGTACCCCCAGTGTTCTCGGGGTGCCCCAGACGGCCTCCAGGGCACCCCTCACGAGGCCCAGAGGGCTCCAGGGGCTCAAAAATGTAGCGAAAAGCTGGGGGCACCTTGGGCCAGGGGCACTTCTAGCAACACCCGAACTTCCCCAGAGTGGCAGCGTTTTTCCCAGGATTCTGTTCTGGTGGCCCCGGGGCCGAGGAAGTGCGCTTGGGCGGAAGAGAAATGCATCGGAGATTTGGAACGCGCGCCTACGATCGCACCGCGCTGCCCTGAGCTGCTCTGGTCTTGTCGGGACCAGGAGCAGTCCGCCGTTCAGAAGCCAAGCGAAGGCTGGCAAGCCCGTGGCTGAACGAAGCTCCAGGAAATTGTTTTTTGTTCTTCGGAAAGCAGCCCGTTGACTATTCAGTGCGCTGAGGTTTATTCAGTGAATGTGTTGCTTTCTTCAGGGAATGCCGTTTTAGCAGCCACGGATTTGCCAGGCCTCGCCCAATTTCCGAGCTGTACTATGTAATGTCTGTCCGCAAGCACGGTGCAATATGTTCCAACACCCGTCGCCCAGAGAGCTGGCCAGAAAATTATGGCACCGCACGTTGTCTTGTGGCGTTGCTGCGAGGCCCCATGACACAGGGCCCAGATACCTTCTGGTGCATGTGCGCACGCGCGGCGGCGGGAGTGGCTCCGAGCAGAGGTGGGCGGGCGACCGGCTCGGCCGCGTCCTCCGCCCTCTCCCTTCCTCCTGCATGGTGGAGGGTTTCTCCGAAGGGCTTAGGCGACCAGTCCTCCTCCTCCTCCTCCCCCTCCTCCTCCTCCTCTTCCTCCTCCTTCTCCTCCTCCCTCCTCCTCCTGCTCCTCCTGCTCCTCCTCCTCCTCCTCCCCCCCCTCCTCCTCCTCCTCCTCCATCTCCTCCTCCCCCTCCCCCTCCTCCACCTCTTCCTCCTCCTCCTCCTCCTCCTCCTCCTCCTACTTCTCGGGTCGCCTACGGCCCCGGGGAAAGCCGTGCACTGCATGGTTGCACCATTCGCTACAACAGTACCCCCGTTTGGGCAGCTCATCGCCAGCGCAGCTGCTCTGCCCAGCCGCCGGCGCAGAACGTGTGCAGGGGGCGCCGGCGCTGCGGTCGCGCTCTCGGTCGTGCCGAGGGCCGCGAGCACGAGGGGGGGGGCGCTCGGAGGAGGAGGGGCATCGGAGGGCACCATCGGTATCGTTTAACCAATCCCCATCCCCATTCCCATGCCCTTAGAGACCACCACCAAATTACAACCCAATTTGGGGATACACCCCTCGAAACCCGAAGGGAACGACCTATATCCCCATCTAGGGGGGTAGATCGACCAGTGGGGCCCAGACGACGCCGCTGGGGATGGGGATCGGTTTAACGATACTCACAGCAACTACACACCCTCACCGATCCCGGCCAGGCCGATCCTGGGTCCAGGATCGGTGTATGTACATTCTGCCCAAGGCAGGAGGGCGTATGCACCGATCCTGGGCCTAGGGTGATCCTGGCCAGGATCGGTGTTGGTGTGTAGTTGATGCCTTCCTAAGAGGGCGGTGGGTCGTCGGACGGGAGGTGCGGAGGGATCGGATTCGCCCGCCCGCCTCGGCTCCTCGGCTGCTCGACCCCGCGGGCGCCCAGGGCGCGCCGCGGGGGCGGCGAGGGCTCGACCGAAGCGGTGTTTCAATGATTTCGCGGACCGTTCTCGTTTTGAGTTCGTTTTGAATGAAAATCAGGCGATCGCAAACATGGATCAAGGGGGTGTGGATTAGCGACGGGGCCCGTTTCTATGGGAAGTCTCGGATTTCCGCCGCCGAGCGAGGCGGCACCGGCCGCGTTTTGGGCAGGGCACCTCCCCCGATCCATGAATTTGGCGACCGCGCGCCAAATCCATTGATCGCAAATCCATGTTTAGGCGCCCCCGCATGAAAAGGTGAACGAATCGGCTGCGCGTAAGATCGGCGGCGAAATTCGAACCCTACCCTCGCCGATCAAAGATGCAGGCAACTCGATGGGCGGCGGGGGTAGGGTTCGGGATTCGTCGAGCACGTGGCATGATCCGAATCCTACCCCCGCCTCCCATCGATTTAGGAGACTCGCTGGTTTGTGGGGGTCGGGTTCGGATGTCGCCACCGAGAGAGGGGAACGAATCGGCTGCGCGTAAGAACGACCCTTCGCCGGAGTGACCTTCGGTGCGGGCCCACAGTTGTCCCGCAATCACTGGCCGACGCGCTTGGATTGCTCGAGTGTGACCCCATGTTGCGACCCCTTGAGGTCGCGCATCAAAGGTCGCTCTTGCCTGGGGTCAGTCGCTGCGTGCAGCTGAACGCGGCCAGGATGGCAAACAACGGAAGCAGAGCGCAAACGAAAACATGCTCTTCTGGTCACAGGGGGGGGGGGCCATGCCAAGAAGGAAGGTTTTTTGTGGTCGGGCCCCCTGCTGCAGGTTTTCGTCGAGCCCCGGGGGCGGCCGAGCGGCCGCTGGGCGCGCAGGCCCGCAAGCTGTGGGGCGGCATGCTCCCGCCGCAAAGCTTCGCCCCCGACATCGGAGGCGCCGCGCCGCCTGACGGGCTGCGAGCGGAGAGCTCCTCCTCCTCGTCGGCGTCCTCTTCCTCCTCTTCCCCCTCTTCCTCATCCTGTTCCTGCTCCCCCTCCTCCTCCTCCTCCTCCTCCTCCTGCTCCTCCTGCTCCTGCTCCTCCTCCTCCTCCCTCCTCCTCCTCCTCCTCCTCCTCTTCCTCCTCCCCCATCCTCATCCCCCTGCTCCTCCGAGGCTCGGTGTACGCATCCTGAGATCTTTCAGCTCAGCGATCGGGCCCCTGAGCGTCTCCATGGCGACTGTGGAGGTGAGGATTACTGAACTGATGGATGCCGGTATGCCAGGACACCGGGATCCATCAGTTCAGTGATCCTCGCCTCCCCAGTCGCCATGGAGACGCTCAGGGGCCCGATCGCTGAGCTGAAGGATCTCAGGATGCGTTCTCGGTGGCAATTTGCGGGGGCCTATGTGTGTCCTCGCAGCTCCATCCCTAGCTTGTATTAGCGAGCGCCAGCGTACGGCAGTCGACGAGAAAGCGCCGACGGAGTGTCAGATGTAGCGTCGATTGGCGTCGGCAAGCGTCGATTCGCAAGGGCCGGCAGGATGACATGGGAGACTCCCATGAGCTGCCACAGAAGAGTGGGCCATGGGCACCCTCGCGTCGTGAGAAGCTCATTTACGCTGTTTTTATTTGCCATCTTCGGCCTCTTGGGGTCCCCGTCAGGCCCCCCCGGCCGTAAGGAACTCACGGCGGGAGGTGTTTGAGCCCTCTTCGGCCTCCGAGCCTTCTCGTTGGGCCCCGGGGCCGTCAGAGCACGCCTCGGGATGAAGGCCGGTCTCCAGAGAGGGGCCATGGGTGGACCGCGCTTCGGATTGGACGACAAGATCCATACGCTCAGTATGGCTGAGCGTTCTGAGTGCACGCTGGGGGTGAGTCGGGGTGGGGTTGTACAGCACCCCTCTCGAGAGCGAAAACGTTCTGGGGGGCTTGGAACCCGTCCCCCAGAAGACGGAGGGGGTGTTCGAATCCCTCCCCTTCTTGGCGCTGGCAAACGATGAGGACGATGACTTGTCTGTCCCGCGCGCCCGATCGACCCACCCGCGACGACGACATGTCCTGCCCAGTGCGTGCCTGGCCCGCGCGCTATTGCGCGGCTGGCACGGGCAGCCTTCCGAAGCCCCCAAGATTGCACCGATGCTATCCGGCTGGGGCCCCAGGATACAATTGGGTGGTTTCACCGGCGACGACGGCCTGGGCGTTGGATTCACCCCCCAACGACATGTGCCTGGAAACGCTTTCGAGCCTTCTCTCCAGAGAGCTCGCCTTCTCTCCTGCCTTCTTTCCCGTGGGATCTTTGCATCTTTGCGTCGAGGGTCTAGCATCTTTGCGCCAGCCCGCACTGTTGATCCGGACTGCCTCAAACCTCCGACGGCATGATTTGTTCGTGACGCGGTCCTGGGGAATTCTCGAACCCGTCCCGGGAAATCCGACGCTCCTCCAAAAATGGAGCGGTCGGATTTTAGTTGTGTTCGGCCTCCAGGGGCCCTCGCCGCGTATTGTGACGCGTGTCGCGACCGTATCGTGACCGTCGGGAAAAACGACCCAGGACGAGAAACAGGCCCGAGGAGGGCGGTCCAGACTTCCGGGGCCCCCGCGTCGGAAAAATTGCAGCAGCCAGATGTATGGATTTTTGTGGCCAGTTGTTCACCCGGTTTTTGACAGGTTTGGGTCGAAGCAGTCCTGGATCATACCGGCGCAGGCCAATCACAATGAGGCGGGCGGGCTGTGCTCCTCGCAACCCCCGAAGGAGCTCATCAGATGTGGCACCCTTCTCGAGGAATCGTCGGCACGATGGGGTTCCCCCGCGAGCTCAGGAGCATAGCTAGCCCCAGCGTTGCCAGGTCGGCAGTGCCATCCCGTGTGCTGCGCTCTGGGAACTTGTTATTTGCCCTTCCTGTGCTCGATGGTCCTGCCGTCGACGCGGGCTCCCAGGCTTCATTTTTATGCGATCAGCGAGTACAGGTGGACTTGACGGCAACGGTTTGGAAACGCAGCAGCGCAACGCGTCCCGAGTGCCGACGCCCATTGACACGCGGAGGATCCCCGAGGACGTGATGTGCAGGATGGGGACTGGCTTGCTTACGCTGGCAATGCGCCGCTCTGGACCGCCCTTGAAGACAGGTTCGTGAAGCGCGTCATCTGAGGCACCGAGGTGCCGAACACCCACGCCCAGCGTAGGGCCGGGCTCTGCCCGCACAGGCGTGCGTGCCTGCCTGCCTGCCTACGCATATCGGCGCGCAGAGGGTGTGCGCGACGGCGGCGGGCGTCGGCACGCGGAGGTTGCCAGCGACCGCTGCTGAGAGGTGAGACCGTGCCCGCCGATGGTGAACCCAGCCAGCCAGGTTTGTGGACGGCGATCAGAGGAGAGGAAGCATGTGGCCAAACAATTTCCAGATCTCCAAGCAATGTTTTGAACATGTCTGAAGCACATAAAAAGCCTGGTTTTACATCATTAGAAACATACATGAGTAACTCGAACAACGCTTAAGACATGCCAAACACATGTGCAACTCAATGATTAAGATTGTTAGGGTGTCCATTGTCATGGCATCCACAAAGCTAGATCACCCGCAGGGGCGTGAACAGAGCCGATCCTCGCGCCTCGCTGCTTCCTCTTCTGGAGCCGACGGAGTGAAAAGTCATGAAACAGAAGTCCGCCCGGACTTTTTGGATCTGCGCTGGATCCCCTGGCGGCGCCTCGGGCGCCGTTCCCGGCGCGCTCCGCGCGCCAAGCAAGGGGGGACAGCGCCGATCCAAGAAATCCGCGCGGGCCTCCGAAACATCAGGTATGCTTGCGAAATAGAATGCAAATTGATTCTCGAGGTCCGCAGTTTTCCCGGACGCCCCAGGATGCCTCTAGACTCAAGCAGGAATATTCAAACATAGGGAGACAAAACGAATCGGGGGACGATGTTTTGAGTAAGGTTGAGCATGTGTTGGATAGTTTTAGAAGTTCATTGTTGGTCCAAGCTTCGCCTGTAGGGGGACATGCCCGACCTGACTCTAGATGCTCGTAGTTGGCCAACCAAAAAACCTCGGTCCTGCTCCTCTGCCCTCTCCCTCGTTCGTCCATCCCGCGATGGACTCGGGCTCCAGATCCCTCCTCCTCTCGCCCTCTCCCTTCTCACCCGACCCTGTCCCGGGTATGTTCCGCCCTCTGCGTGTATTGTTTCGGTCTGCCAGAGTTCACGACATGCTGTTCCATTTCCCGAGCAGTGTCAGCATTTAGGGGCTCTTATTTCTGGAATGAGCAACAGGCCCTGAAGGTTTGGCTGCTGGCTATGTAGTCGCCGTCGCCGCCCCGTCGGTGCCTCGTCGTCGCCCGTCGCCTGGCCTTGAAGGTCGGTCTGGCGGCTATGTAGTCGCTGTCGCCGCCACGTCGTTGCCTCGTTGTCGCCCGTCGTCTGGACCTGAAGGTCGGCCTGGCCGCAACGAAGTCGCCGTCGCCGCCTCGTCGCCGCCAGCCGTCTGGGCCCGTCGGTCTGGCGTTTGTTGCCGTCGCCGCTTCTTCGCGACTTCCCGTAATCGTTACACAGATTTTTGCACCACGCACAGTGCACCACATTGGCTGCACCACATAGAGTGCCTAACATATACTGCACAACATGGACTGCAACACGCACAGATTGCACAGCCTGTATCTCACCACATATATTCTCCGATCTAAAAGACTAATAGATTCTACCCCCCCCCCCCGGACTTATCGGGACCCCCGCGCGTGCTGCAAATTACATATGAGTCTGACCACATGTCCATCCTAAATATGAATCCATACCATCCCAGCCAAGCTGGGTTCCCCCCCCTGCGGTTCCCTTGTAAAAACACTATGCGGTGACCTGTTTTGTTCTAACATATCACTTTTTTTCACAAATCCCTTGCAACAAATGGGACGAAGTGCACACGCGCGCGTCGTGGCGCGCGCATGCCGGAATCCTTAAACAACCCTCGGTTCCGGAGAGATTTCAAAATTGAATTTCCAAAGCACCTATAAAAACACATGGTTTCGCAACGCTGATTCAAAAAAACTTACGCGCGAGCTCTTGCGAAATCTTAAGAAAACCATAGGTTTTCCAAGATTTTCACAACATGCTACCAAACGGGCCTCGCGCGCGCGCATGTCGAAATCTGTCGAACGCTCTTGCGCGTGTGCCGTCGCGAGAATCCTCTGCAAAAAAAACGGGACGAAGTGCAGACGCGCGCGTCGTCGCGGGCGTATGCCGAAATCCTTCAAAACCCTTCGGTTTTGGAAGAATGTCGAAATCGTGCGTCCAAAAAATTCTTTACGCTTCGCGTATCCCCACCAGCCCATCTCACAGCAGCAACTCTTGCGAAGCATGCCGACAGTCGTGTTTTTCAGGCGTGTGTCCGCTAGGCCCCGCATATCTCCCCTGTTCCTCCTTCCTCCCGCCTCCTTGTACATCCTCCTTGTGGGGGGGGGCGGGAGAAGGAGGAGGCGGAGGAGGAGGGAGAGAAAGCGCTCCTCGTGATTGGAGTCGTTTGGGGTTTCTCGTCCTGGTGTGGGTCGTTCGGGCCCTTCTTCCTGGTGTGAGTCGTTCGGGCTCTTCGTGGTGTGAGTCGTTCGGGCTCTTCGTCCTGGTGTGAGTCGTTCGGGCTTCTCGTGGTGTGAGTTGTTCGGGCCCCTCATCCTGGTGTGAGTCGTTCGGGCCCCTCCTCCTGGTGTGACTCGTTCGGGCTCCTCGTGGTGTGAGTCGTTCGGGGCCCGCGTCGTGGTGTGAGTCGTTCGGGCTCCTCGTGGTGTGAGTCGTTCGGGCGCCTCGTCCTGGTGTGAGTCGTTCGGGCCCCTCCTTGTGGTGTGAGTCGTTCGGGCTCTTCGTGGTGCGAGTCGTTCGGGCCCCTCGTCCTGGTGTGAGTCGTTCGGGCTCCTCGTGGGGCCTCTTGGAGGCCTCTTGGAGCCTCTTGAGGCCTCCGCCTGGGGGCGCGCGCCGCCCGGAGAGCGAGCGCGTTTTCCCTGAAAGTGTGTTCGCCTTCCGGGTGGCGGGCATCCCCAAACGGGGGTCCTCGGACAGTCGCCCGGTTTGCGTGGCCAGCGTCTGGTACAGAGCTTGGCACGCCACGCTGTTGCGGTGTCTCCCGCCTGGGCCGGCCGAAGCCTACGGCGAGGCGGGCGTGGTCGCGTCGGCGGCCTCCTGGTTGTCGGCGGAGGGGCAATATGGGGCGGAAATTGATTTGATGAAAGCCTTCGATAGGGTCCCCCACGAGGTTGCCAGAAAAGCCTTGGAGCGCGCGGGGGTGCCCCCTCCCGTGGTGTGTTCTCTCGTCGCTGGCTGGACTGCGCCTCGTTTTTGCGCCGTGGCCGGGGAGATGGCCGACCCCCTCTTCCCCACGAGGGGGATACCCGCGGGCGACCCGGTTTGCTGCCGTGTGCTCTCTTTAGTGTTGGCGCCGTGGCACGGGTTGGTGGGCTCCTGCGGGGCTGGGCACTGGAGCTACGTAGACGACCGGTCACTGAAGACGAGCACGTTGGGGGACCTCCAGTCCCAGCTGCAGGTCACCCAGGAGTTCGACGCCGCGGTCGGCTTGACGGAGAACGACGGCAAGCGGCAGATGTGGGCGGGGTCTGGCGCCGCCGAGCACCTGGGCATAATCGCTCAGCCAGCGGCCGGCCTCCGACCGCACTTGCCCCCGCCGAGGGACGGTTGGGATCCCGTGGTGGACGCGGCCCGGCGCGCTCGGTGCGTCCCAGGCGGAGCCGAGTTGCGGGAGCAGGTCGTGAAGTGGGCACTGAATAAGTACATGTGGGCGGCCCCCTTCGTGGAGCATCCGCCAGCGGCCCTGGCGAGGGAGTGCATGAAAGCCATATCGGCGCAGAAATCGACATGGTGGTGCGCCCGCCGCTTCTGGGCGGACAGGATCATGACCCACCCCAGCCTGGCGTTGTCGTGCCGGGCGTTGCAGGCGGCGCGCGGCCTCCCGTGGTCGAGCATGCTCGAGGTGGCTCTGGACACCCATTGCAGCAAGCTCGGGCTGCGCATGGCGGACTTGCCCGGCCCCCTCCCGGAGGGCATCTGGGTGGTTCCAGGGGCTGGCCTGGACCGCCGTGCCCGGGTGGCGGCGGAAGGGGCGGGGGTGCGCCACCTTGGAGGTGCGTTCGACGCGTCGAGCCCCCGGGGCCAGCATGTCCTTCGCGTCTGCGCGCGGGCCTCCCTGCTGCTGGAGCGCAGGGCTGGGGCGCGGCGCGACGAGGAAATGCTGGGCGCGGTGGACATCGAAGCTTCGAGCCACCCGGACTGGTCTAGCTGGCGTCGCCGGCTTCCTCCGCGGAAGCGCTTCTGCCTTTCCGTGTGGCGGGCCGGGGCCGCGTGGACGCCGACCCGCCGTTGGTCTGGGCAGGGTCGATTAACGGCGTGTCCTTGGTGCGGGTTTGACAGGGCTTCTGCTCGCCATTTCTGGGCGGACTGCCCGAGGTTTCTCCAGGCCAGAAGGGCGTTGGAGGAGGGGCCGCTGGCAGTCCCCCAGGGGTGGTGGGAGGCTCAGCCTCGGGTGACGGCCAAGTCTGCTTGGGTTACTTATCACGCGGACCCGAGCCCACGCCGGCGGGCCCAGTTGCAGCTCGCCGCGGCGCAGCTGGCCCTGCAGGTCATGGAGGCTTTGCAAGGCAGCGGAACGGGGGGCCCCAGCGCCCCGAGGCGGTGGCGGTTGGAAGCGTTCGCGCACGAAGCGGCGGATTATTCTCAGCGGTCGCTGGCGGAAGTTTTACCGCGGGGCGTCGCGGAAGTCGGGCCAGCGGCGGCCGGCGGTGCTAGAGCGTCTTCGGAAGGAGCTCATCCGTCTTCCCCTCCTCCCCCTGGCTCCCTGGCCGGTGGGGCGCGGGGTCCCTGGTCGGCCGCGTTGGTGTCCTGGCGCGGTGCCCCGACGGTGTCTCGTTACGGGGGGGCCCTGGCCCCCCCGCGCAGGGTGAGCGTTGATGGCCCTCAGGCTGACGGCGCGGCGCTGCAGTCCGCGGCCAACGTCGCGATGGCAGCGGCGGCGGGCGGCCCTTTCCTCCCCCCTCCTCTCGGCGGCGGCGGCGGAGGCGGCGGCCCCGTCGGCGCCCCTCCTTCCTCCGGGGGGGGCGGATGGGTGGACTGAAGCTCTGGTACGGCGCCGGCAGGCAGAACCACCTGCCACGGTGGCCTCAGAGCAGGCTGACCCCGCGCGCCCCGGCCAAAGGCCGGGGAGCTTGCGGCAAGGCCAAAGGACGCCTACCGCATTTTCACTCTATCATCTTCGGCCTCTTGGGGGCCTCTTGGGGGCCTCTTGGGGGCCTCTTGGGGGTTTCTTGGGGCCTCTTGGGGCCTCTTGGGGGCCTCTTGGGGGCCTCTTGGGGGCCTCTTGGGGCCGCTTGGGGGCCTCTTGGGGGCCTCTTGGAGGCCTCTTGGGAGCCTCCTGTGGGCCTCTTGGGGCCATCTTGGGGCCTCTTGCGACTTCCTCAGAAGCGCAATGGAGGGCTGCCCCCGGAGAAAGACAAAATGAGGCCAAAACCTTCGTAAAATCAATGATTTTGCTATGAAGGAAGAGAAGCGCTGCCCCCTCAGAAGGCGAAAATGGGGCCAAAACCCTAGTAAAATCAATGGTTTGGGCTTCAAAGAAGAGGAGAGGATTTGTTCTCCGGCCCCCCGTCGGGGCCAGAATCCTCGTGAGGGTCGTCGTTTTTCAGCCCTCCCAGGAGTCGAAATTGACCCCCTCTGACGACCCGCGGGGCGCCCTCTCCAGGCCCAGGGGGAGGGGGTAGGGGGAGGGGTAAACCCTTCCCCGAAGGGGAAGAAGGGGGGTTGAGGACAGAGGGGGCTCGCTAAACCACTCACGCCCTAAAGGGCTGGTGGGACTTACAAAAACACAAGGTTTCGCAACACGGGTTTTCAACAAAATTGTGCGCGCGCGCTCTTGCGTCGTCGTCGTCGTCGTCCTCCCTCCTCCTTCGTCGTCGTCGTCGTCGTCGTCGCCGTCGTCGTCTTCTGTCTTTCCTCGTCGTCTTTGGCGTCGTCGTCGTTTCCGTCGTCGTTGTCGCCGTGGTCGTCCTTCCTCCCTCGTTGTCTTCGTCGGCGTCTCGTCGTTGTCCCTCCTATTTCGTCGCCGTCGTCGTCGTCGTCGTCGTCGTGGTCTTCACTCCTCCCTCGTCGTTATCCTCCTCCCTCGTCGTCGTCGTCCGTCGTCGGCGTCTCGTCGTCGTCCCTCCTATTTCGTCGCCGTCGTCGTCGTCTTCGTCGTCGTTGTCATCGTCGTCGTCTTCCCTCCTCCCTCGTCGTTGTCGTCGTCGGCGTCGCCGTCCTTCCTCCTTCTTCGTCGTTGGCGTCGTCGCCGTCTTCCCTCCTCCATCGTCGTTGTCGTCGTTGTCGCCGTCGTCGTTTTTTCTCCTCCCTCGTCGTCGTCTCCGTTGGCGACGTCGTCGTCGTCTTCGTCGTCGTCGTCGGCGTCGTTGTCGTCGTCGTCGGTGTCGTCGTCGTCGTTGTCGTCGTCGAAAACATTGGAGACGTCGTCGGTGTCGTCGCAGTCGCTGTCGGCGGCGCCGTCGTCGTCGATGTCGCTGTCGTCGTCGGCATCGGTGTCGTGGCCAAGTGCCGCGCAGTACCTACCGTCACGGTCTTGTCTGAAGATGTCTTGCGACCAAGTTGCGGGTGGGAGGGTGGGATGTTTGCACGAGCAGTGGAGAGGACAGCTTCAAGACAGTCGAAGTGGATTGCACCACCTAGATCGCACCGCACGGACTGCAGCACATAGATTGTACCAAATGGATTGCACCACAGAGGTTGCACCACATAGGCTGCACAACATCGATCGCGTGCGTCGCACATAGCGCACAGCCTACATCGCACTGCATAGATCGCACCACATAGATCACACTACATATATTCTCTTTTTTTTAGAGAAAAAAAGGTTCTACCACCCTCCCCCCCTCGGGATTAAAGTCTCACCTTTTCGCATTGCAATGTACATTTGATGTTGCCCCGTCGTCCATCCGAAATCTGAATTTACACCATCCCAGGGGGGGGGCGGTATCGCCCCCCGCCCCGCCATGCGCGCGCATGCCGAAATCCTTCAAAAACTCTTGGCTTCGGAAGGATTTCAAAATCGAGTGCCCAAAAAACCTTTAACAACATATGGTTTCGCAACACGGAGTTTCAACAAATGCGTGCACGCGCGCTCTTGCGAAATTTTGGGAACACCATAAGGTTTTCAACATGTTGTTAAACATGCTACCAAACAGGCTTCGCGCGCGCATGTCGAAATCGGTCGAAGGCCCTTGCGCGCAAGCTGGGGTGGCACGATCTGTGTCAAATAATACCCTACGAGCCACTTTCGCGCGCCTGCCGCGCGCGCATTCCGAATTCCTGTCAAAACCTTGAACGCCGACGCAAAGACACCGTCATCGTCGCCGTTGTGATCAGCATCGGCGCCGTCACTGGCTGCCCCGTCGTCGCTGTCAGCATCGTCGCCAGCATCGCTACTATCATCATCGTGTCTACCGTTGTCGACGTTGCCATGATACCGCGCCCGCCCAAATCGCCGACTCGCATTGGAGTGCCCGCTGGGATTTGCCGAACGGCCAGCGCCACCGCGTTCGCGCCGGTCGCGTCAAACTAGGTGGCACTTGCACGCGCGAGCATGCGCGGGCTAGCACGGCCGCAGAGATGCCCCAGCCAACACCTAGCACTCATCGCAATCGTTCCCGCATGGGTTTTGCAAACCAAGGTGCGGGCGGGCGGGTGGGATGATTGCGTGAGCGGTAGAGGTGGCATTTCCAAGTGCGGCAAGTGAATTGCACCATTTAGATCGCACAGCATATAGAATGCACCGCGTAGCGTGCACTGCATCGGTTGCACACCCTAGATCGCACACCCTACTTGCACAGTATAGGTTGCACCGCGTACGTTGCACAACATGAATTGCACAAGACATATTGCACAACCTAGATTGCACAACGTCGGTTGCACATCCTACATTGCACAACCTATACTTTTGCACCACATTGATTATACCACGTAGCGTGCGTCACAAAGATCGCACCACATAGGTTGCACCACGCAGATTGCACAGCACATGTTGCACCGTATAGATCGCACCACCTACGTTGCACCATATATGTTACACACTATATATTGTTAGAACCACTACCATCCGACCTTGTTCGGTCCGTTGATATGATGCTGTTGCAGGCTCGGGCCTCATTGTAGGATCTGTTCGTTGCCCCCGACGTTCAGATTTGCATTATCGCTCCAGCACGTGTCATATTCTTGGATACGCGTATTCCATAATCGTTCTCGTTCCTGTCGTTTCCCCTCCTCAGCCTTCCCCTGGTCCTCCTGCTTTGTCCGTTCCTTCCACTTCAGTTTTTGTTGCTGCCGTTCGTCCTTGTATTCCTCCCTCTTCCTTTTTGTTTCTCCTCCTCTTCCTCCTCCTCCGTTTGTCTTCGTCTCATCATCTTACTCGTCCGCCAAATCTTCCTCTAATGTACGCAGCTCACGTTTTTTTCCCGATTGCACATGACACGATGGAATCATTGTTGGAGCTCCAGGTCCGCTATGTCATGCAGTGGCGGATAGAAAAGCAATCACCGCACTGGGCATGTATGGGTGGGAGGGGTAAGAGGTCATATATGGCGCGATCGCACCTAGCTTGCGTTCCCGCTTTCTCTCTTATCCCACGTCGTCGTCGTCCTTTTCGTGTTCCTGCGCTCTTTGTCAACATGCTCCTCCTCCTCCATCCTCATCAGCAGTTTCACCACCACCACGTGTTCTTCCACTGCTCTTCCTCGCTCTTTATCCTCATCTTCATTCTTCCGGTGGCTCTCCAGCTTTCCCCCGATCGTCGTACGGGAACGTTGTCTCGCGTCTTTTGCAGCTGAACGTTTGCACTGTTGATAGCTCTGCAGCTGTATCCTTACCATCCTCATCCTTTCTCCTCCTCGTCCTCCTGACCCGATGGTTTCGCCCGCCCCCCCCCCCCGCCGAGGCTACAAGAGGGGCGTCGAGGGACAAGAGGCGGTGATTGTCGGCGTAGCGTTCAAGGACGCGCGCTTGTGGCCGCCAGCCCCCCTTTCCGTCCTCTCCGAGAGCATGGAGGAAGGGAGTCGCTGGGGCAGCAGCGCACAGCATGTCACCGATCAGGGTAAGTGCCACTGTGCGCAACCCTTAGTGGGATTTGGAACCAACGGTTTTTTCCCAACCCTCCTTGGTTGGGTATTCGTTTTGAATAGAGCAGTGTGGTATCCTTTCCTTCCTTCCTTCCTCCTCCTCCCTCCATGCCTCTTCCTGTCTTGCCTGCGGGGGGCTGCGATCTGTGAACCTGTCGCCATTTTCGAAGCCTGCTGGGGGGCCCAGCACAGTGAGGGCCACGGTCGGACCCAAATTAGACCTCGCCATCCTTGGGGGGTTGCGATCTGTGAAACTGTCGCCACTTTCGAGGCCTGCTGGGGGGCCCAGCACAGTGAGGGCCACGCGCGGATTCAAATTAGACATCGCCATCCCTGGGGGGCTGCGATCTGTGAAACTGTCGCCACTTTCGAGGCCTGCTGGGGGGCCCAGCACAGTTCAAATTAGACCTCGCCATCCCTGGGGGGCTGCGATCTGTGAAACTGTCGCCATTTCGAGCCTGCTGGGGGGCAAATTAGACATCGCCATCCCTGGGGGGCTGCCTCGTGAAACTCGCCACTTGCGATCTGTGAAAGTCGCCACTTTCGAGGCCTGGGGGGCCCAGCACAGTGACGCCACGCGCGGATTCAAATTAGACCTCGCCATCCCTGGGGGGCTGCGATCTGTGAAACTGTCGCCACTTTCGAGGCCTGCTGGGGGGCCCAGCACAGTGACGCCACGGGCGGATTCAAATTAGACCTCGCCATCCCTGGGGGGCTGCGATCTGTGAAACTGTCGCCACTTTCGAGGCCTGCTGGGGGGCCCAGCACAGTGAGGGCCACGGGCGGATTCAAATTAGACCTCGCCATCCCTGGGGGGCTGCGATCTGTGAAACTGTCGCCATTTTCGAGGCCTGCTGGGGGGGCCAGCACAGTGAGGGCCACGGGCGGATTCAAATTAGACCTCGCCATCCCTGGGGGGCTGCGATCTGTGAAACTGTCGCCATTTTCGAGGCCTGCTGCTGGGGGGGCCAGCACAGTGAGGGCCACGCGCGGATTCAAATTAGACCTCGCCATCCCTGGGGGGCTTCGATCTGTGAAACTGTCGCCATTTTCGAGGCCTGCTGGGGGGCCCAGCACAGTGACGCCACGGGCGGACCCAAATTAGACCTCGCCATCCCTGGGGGGTTGCGATCCGTGACTCTGTCGCCATTTTCGAGGCCTGCTGGGGGGCCCAGCACAGTGACGCCACGGTCGGACCCAAATTAGACCTCGCCATCCTTGGGGGGTTGCGATCTGTGAAACTGTCGCCACTTTCGAGGCCTGCTGGAGGGCCCAGAACAGTGACGCCACGGGCAGACCCAAATTAGACCTCGCCATCCCTGGGGGGCTGCGATCTGTGAAACTGTCGTCACTTTCGAGGCCTGCTGGGGGTGCCAGCACAGTGAGGGCCACGCGCGGACCCAATTAGACCTCGCCATCCCTGGAGGGCTGCGATCTGTGAAACTGTCGCCACTTTCGAGGCCCGTTGGGGGGCCCAGCACAGTGACGCCACGGGCGGACCCAAATTAGACCTCGCCATCCCTGGGGGTGTGTGATCTGAGATCCCCGCTTTCGAAGTGGCTAGGGTTGCTCAGGGATTGCAACTAATCAGCTTTCTCTAGTCCTTGTCCTGAAGCCAGTGTCCTGCGAGTCTCCCGAATTCCGTCTGCAGACATATGTAACCCTCGCTCCGTCATCGCCCCCCTTATAAAGTGTCCTAAACTATTTGCGCCCCGCGTTTGCGCAGGGGTTGGGTACGTCGCCAGGGTAATTTGTTGCCGGTTCCGTCTTGCCGTTTGTTTTCTGGTTCCGTCGCCGCTGTTTTGCCGGTTCAAATTCCGGAGCCGGTTTGTTGCCGTTTCGAGTTGCCGTTTTTTTGTTACCGTTTCTATGTTCAAGAGGTATGTTCGGAAACGGTGAAAACATGGCTCTGCCAGTTCCGGGACCCATTTAGATCAGTCCACAACACTTCACCGATCAGGGTACGTGTCATTGTGCGAAACCGTCGACCACTTTATTTAATGTTCAATGTTTCACCTCGTGAATCACGTCACCATGTAAGGGGGCACGTGATGTTTGGACAGTCGCGTGTGAGCGTTTCTTGCGCGCCCGTTCCGCTTGCGTCTCGGGTAGTGACCAGTGCCAGAGTACGGTTGGTGCAAGTCGCCGGAATACTGGATATTGCATTATCGTGAACAAATGAAGGCGTTTGCAAGTAGAAAGAGGGACGGAACTGATCAGGTGCGTAGAATTTGGTGGGTTGGTCAGCATGTGAAGTTTCGCAGGATAGCAGTGTGTTTGTGGTGAGACAGGGATACATGTGTATACATATAACTGCGCACCGGGTCCGGGGGCCCGGGGCCGGGACCCCGACCACAAATGTGGGCCCCGGGGGGCCCGGAGGCTCGTCGGACCGCCGGACGCCGTCCAAGATCGTTCGCAAGCGGCTTCGGAACGCGCTCCGATGGCTCCAGATGCCTTCCAAGAAGGTCCCAGAAGCCTCCAAGACGCTCCGAGAGGCAGCCCAAGAGAGGCCCAAGAATCAAAAATCGTGCCAATCCTATGGGAAAACGTATATTTTCCGCATGTTCGCCTCGTGGGCTTTCACCGCGTCCAAGACGGCCCAAGAGGCGCCCAAGACGGTCTACGAGGCTTCCGGGAGCGCTCCAAGGCTGCGCACGAGTGGCCCAGGACGGCCCCAAGACGGCCCAAGAGAGCCCCAAGACGAGTTCGAGAGGGGTCCCAGACGGAGAAAGCCAACCTCGAATTCCGACCTTCCGGCCCAAGAGGCTCCAGGAGGCGCCAAAATGCCGCCAAGAGGCGCCAAAAGGCTCCCAAAAGCACCCCAAGACGTTCCGAGAGGCACCCCAAGAGAGGTCCAAGAAACAAAATCGTGTCATTCCTATGGGAAAACGTATATTTTTCGCATGTTCGCATCTTGGGCTTTCACCGCGTCCAAGACGGCCCAAGAGGCCTCCAAGACGGCCTAGGAGGCCTCCGGGAGCGCTCCAAGGCTGCGCACGAGTGGCTCAGGACGGCCCCAAGACGGCCCAAGAGAACCCCAAGACGACTTCGAGAGGGGTCCCAGAAGGAGAAAGCCACTCTCGAATTCCGAGCTTCCGGCACAACACATCCCAGGAGGCGCCAAAACGCTGCCCAGAGGCGCCAAAAGGCTTCCAAAATCAGCCCAAGACGTTCCGAGAGGCACCCCAAGAGAGGTCCAAGAAGCAAACATGGTCCCATTCCTGTGGGAAAACGTATACTTTTCGCATGGTCGCCTGCTGGGTTTTCACCGCGTCCAACACGTCCGAAGAGGCCCCCAAGACGGCCTAGGTGGCCCCCAAGAGAGTCCCAAGACGGTTCACGAGGCGCCCAGGACGGCAAAATTGGACTCCAAAATGTCGGGAGCGGCGAAGAGGGGGGTGTCCAAGAGGGGGGGGGGGGCAAATTATGACCGGCGGCACGTGCGCGGCCCAGCGGGGGGGCCAGGGACGTAATGGAATAAGAAGAGGCGCCATGAAATCTGGGGAAATATCATGGCCCCCGCCATGATATCCACCCCCCCCTAGTCATCACCCCCCTCTTTTCCGCCACCGAAAATGGCCTAAGAGAGCCCCAAGGCGTGCCCGAGAGGGGTCCCAGAGGGAGAAGGCCCGAGAGGCCCCCAAGAGGGCCCCGAGACGGCCCGAGAGAGCCCCGAGACGGCCCCAGAGCCGCCCAAGACGGCGCAAGAGGGTCCCAAGAAGGCCCCAAGAGGGGCCCAAGAGAGGGAACGCGAGCTGAAAACTCACGCTCTCCGCCCCAAGATGCCCCCAAACGGCCCCAAGATGCCCCCAGGAAGCCCCCAAGAGCCCCCAAGAGGCCCCACGAGGCCCCCAGAAGGCCCCAAGAGGCCCCCAAGAAGCCCAAAAGAGGTTCCAAGAGGCCCCAAGACGGCACCCAAAAGGCTTCAAAACTCCTTCTAAGAGGCCCCTGAAGACATGCCAAGAAGGCCCCATGACGACTTCAAGAAGCAGTCCAGGATGCTCCGTGGAGGCCCCAAGAAGCTAGCTAGAACTTGAGCGCGCGCGAAGCGCGCGCGATGGTTCTAGTACACATATATGGAGGAAGCCAAGGGACATGAATAGAGAAGAAACAAAAGAAAACAAGTGACAGAGAGAGTGCCTCTGTGTGAAATGCGTCGGAATGCGTGTCCGTTTCAAACACACCTATACACGGTTTATAACCAGCGACCAGGTCCCCGGGCCTGGGGGCCCCCACTTCGTCCATACTTCCCCACTCCGCATTGCACTATAGTGGAGAGGCCTGACGGCCGGTGCCGCCGACCCTGATCGAAAGGGCTAGGAACGGGGGGAGGAAGCGGAGGAGGAGGAGGAGGAGGAGGAGGAGGAGGAGGAGGAAGAGGAGGAGGAGGAGGAGGAAAAGGAGGAGGAGGAAAAGGAGGAGGAGGAGGAGGAGGAGGAGGAGGAGGAGGAAGTGTATCCTTTGTGTGCCCGCTCGAAGAAACTGCTCAGGTACCCGCTTCGCAGCTACGAACCAGGCGCCAGGCACGGAACTGGGGGCGTTGGACGCGCTGGCGCGCCAGCCGGGCGGGCCGACCGCGAGGGCGACGCCGAGGGGCGACGCGGAGGAACAGGAACTATAGCGTGGCAGGAGTTCTGGGACTGTTGCGATCTGCTGCGTGTCGTGGTGGCCAGGCCAGAGACGCGGGGCGCCGCGTTCCTCGCCTCCGTCGCGGGCATGCTGGGGCCGAGGGAGCTGTTGTCCATACCAGGCACCATGGAGCAGGTGGCGTGGGCGGGCGGCGACTCGACGCTGGAGGTGGCCGGCCAGATCGACTGGGCGGCGAAGTTTTATGCGAGGCAGGAGGTCGGGGGCTACATGGATGCGCTGAAG